GCGCCAAACTTGAAAGCTGTTATTTTTTTGTTGTTGCTTTCTAGCGAGACATTACCAGCTGAAATAATGTGGGGCTGAATATATTTATGAATATTGACTCAGCTTATTTCTGTTGCCGCTGGATAATTTCATGGAATTTTCAAACTTGCCTCATAGGGTCTGCTACTGTGTACAAAAAACTGTGTGCTAGAACCATGAAAAAGCTTTGTTTTTCCGTACTACTAGGGCAACAATATAAAAAGAGAAAGAGAGAAACATAACGTGAGAAGTGCAGAACGGATGTAGTGCATCCTGCAGTCTGATGTCCTCCATACCTTCCAACAGAACACGTGGAGCTCTTCACATCATGTGAGAACACGGAACTACGCAGTGCCAGCAAATGACTATCTCAGCTTTATGTCGTAACATAATGAAATATTCACCTCAAAAGGAACATCTAAAAGAGCAAAATAAAAATACTGTACTCTTTTTCAAATGAGTTATTGACATGACAGCGTCTTCTTTACATGACATGACAGCTATCTCATTTAGTTTTACGTCATAATATAATAAATTATTCATCTCAGAGGGGACATCTAAAGGACCAAAATAAAAATACTACGCTCTTTTTCAATTAACGGCCTATTAACATGACAGCGTTTATGGACAAGGTGCTATAACTGCTTACATCAGCTCGCGATCTCTCATTGTTATTGACGTAATATGATTCGGAGCAGAAAAGTACGTGCACTGTGTACAAGCACACCGCATAAGAAAATGGCTATTACGCATGGTCACCACAAGGACACGATGAAATAAAATAAAAAAAAATTGTGTTCGTACTGTTACGCACATCAAACCGATGTTAATATATCGAATAAACTCGCGTTCGCAGGCTTAACTAAGAGCTCACATTAGTAGTGCTTTTGACAGTGCGAAGGTGAATTCTTCGAACTTCTTTGGGATTCCTCTAGTCAGTGATCATGCTGAAAAAACGTTGTATAGTACAAAACTGAATGGCTTCTAAAAAGAATATTGACTCTCGACACCATAGATCACCATTGTCGACAGCGACGGTGAACGTTAAGTGCAAGGGAAAAAAAACAAAAAAATGGCAACAAGCACTCCTTCGTTGAACTTTTTAATGAAAAAAAAAAAACGCCAGGCCTGCACAGAACGCGCAGCACTGTCACAGCGAAAGCTGAAAGAGAAGCTTTTAAATGCCTTTTTTAATACTTTTCGGGCAGCTGCTCGAGTACACTTGCAGTGTACCTATTGCGCCAATAATCACTGTGTAGTAGGAAGATATTCACTATGCCATTCTTCGTCATTCTTCAGAGAAGCGTGGTACTTGCTGCCCACTGGCAATGAACTTTGCGCAGTTTTCTCTGCTGTAGCTGACGACGATGAAGAAATATGCCAGATATATTTCTCTAATGGGCGCTTTTTGTGGAGAGCTAGAAACTATAAGTCATTTATTTTTTACTTGTAGACGATTTACTAAAGCTCGCAGATCCAAGTTAGAATGTAGTTTATGAGCCGTAAGATTGGGTTTACCATGACTGTGATTCTGTCTTTTGGGGCCTCTTTTTCTGGATTTGCTAGTGCGAAAGTTTCCGTGGTTGTGCGGAATGCTCTGACTGAGACCAAAAGACCAACAAACTAATCTATATTATTACCCTTCTGTGTCGATTCATATGCATAACTTTTCTTATTTATTTATTTATTTAGGTTATGTTTCCTATCTAAGTTATTATCTATGACTAAGAAAAATATTTATTGTTGGTTCATTTCTGTTTTAAAATATGTTACATTTCCTTTTTATGCCGCCGTGACGGATCAGAAGGACACGTTTGATGGAAAGCATTCAGGGGTGAACTCGCATTCTCTTTTTCGTAGGATAACGCTTAGAAGCAATGCTTTACCATTCATAAAGTGTGGAATGGCTCAACTATACCTCACAATTGATCACGTGACTTATTTTTTGCTCATATCTTTCTTAGTTTTAGGAAATTGTGGTGTACAAGAGCACTTGAAGTGAAACCCTACATTGAATAATGCTCAAGCTTCATTTTATCGTGTTCCTGATCCCTTGGGCATTGTCCGCCGTTCCCCATCTCTGTGTTTCCACATGACAAAAAAAATTATTATAAAAACTTTTTAGGCGGTTGCTTACGCAAAAGGAAGCTGTTTTGCTTATTTTTGCAGGATGTGCTTTCACTCAAGCACGTTTTGTGCTTTTTCTTGGATAGCAAGGCTTCGGATGAAAAGCACCCATTCAGACTAAGCTCTCATGCTAGAAACAACCTTAAAGTTTCATTTAAACGTTAAACAGTACATAATATGAACATAAACAACCGGTCATTGTCAAAAAGCAATCGTAACGAAGACTTATGTAAAATTGCGCAGAGGGTATAAAGATCCTCGTAGATCTACCGCTATGATCGCCATTGTGGAAATACTTTCTGGAAGTACGAAAATATAAAAAACTTTGAAAAAATGCTGCGGTTGCGGCGGCTGCATTTCCGCTGGAGGCGGAAATGTTGTAGGCCCGTGTGCTCAGATTTGGGTGCACGTTAAAGAACCCCAGGTGGTCGAAATTTCCGGAGGCCTCCACTACGGCGTCTCTCATAACCATATGGTGGTTTTGGGACGTTAAACCTCACATATCAATCAAAATGCTGCGGTTGATAACGTTGCACAAGGACGCACCGAAGGTGGGTCTTTTTTTAGCCCCGCCGCGGTGGTCTAGTGGCTAAGGTACTCGGCTGCTGACCCGCAGGGCGCGGGTTCGAATCCCGGCTGCGGCGGCTGCATTTCCGATGGAGGCGGAAATGTTGTAGGCCCGTGTACTCAGATTTGGGTGCACGTTAAAGAACCCCAGGTGGTCAAAATTTCCGGAGCCCTCCACTACGCCGTCTCTAATAATCATGTAGTGGTTTTGGGACGTTAAACCCCACATATCAATCAAATCAAGGTGGGTCTTTTGCCATCCTAAGTCTTTTCCTAGACATAAAATGTTGACGCAACAATACCGCCCAGTTTTTAACCACATGCGCACGTAAGCACGCATCTTAAGCCTAGGAAGACATTTTGTTTGAGAAATAAAAGCGCGCTGATCCCATTCGTTGCTTGCCTCGTTTGCCCAATGCACATTATTTTGATGTCTTGAGCCAAGATATGTGCTGGGAAACGAGATGCGAGAGCTATCTGATTTCAGAATGCGGCCGTTTAGCGATGAATAAAAGCGTTGCGCCTTTTTAGACGCCATGTGCTCACTTTCGTAATCCCGCAGCCTTTTTCAAGTGAATAAGAAACCCGGGAAAAATGAGGGGATGACACTTCCCGAACGTAGATAAAATAGTTTTTTTTTTCCTTAGAGCCACATTGGACTTATCGATGTGTGCTTTTTCGTAGAGCCACTATTGATGCACATCAATATGCGCTTTTTCACAAGACGTGAACCTAGAAACTCAAGAATTGCGGTTATATCAAAAGAGATTCAGAATTATACAGTGAGGTCATTATGAACACGTAAAAAATAGTAAGAAATGCATATTACATGATTTAGTCGGCCCAAAGTGTTCATCTCATTCAATTTATGCGAATATTCACGCGTAGTCAACTTGTTCAAATCTTTTTTCTCGTATATATCGTAAGGGAGCGCATTTCCTGGAAGTGGTACTGTAGACTTCTACCTTATCGCTGTTCATGTACGCTCATGCTTCCCCGAAGTGTTCCTTGTGCCGTCTGTTTATTTCCAGATACTGCGCTGTCGAATTCCAAAAATAAAAGCACACTTTTTGTTCGCTGTTGGGGCGAACAATGTGAACGTAGGCTTTAAAGTAAATTCTTGCCATTTCGTTCTCTTGTATTTATTACTACTCATCCTACATTGTCATTATTTCGCCTTGTGATATCTACATTTCCGGTGAACATTTTGACCTCAGTCGGTGTCCTATGTAATTAATCGGATTCCATTGTTTCTGTGTTTCATGTGGTTATAGATTGCTGAATATTTTCATTTATTCAAACCACTCCCGTGTATGACTGCTAAAACAAACAGGCAGCACGAAATAAATCAATAAATAAATAAGTAAAAAATAAACAAAAATAAGTGAACACTTTTTTTTCTAATTTCTGTCAACCATGGCACAAAAAAAAATGCGTACGCACCATTCGATTTTGAATGTAAGCCAACTGACTCAGCCAGAAGGTAACCTGCGTGCCGTTGAAGTTGCTTGAGACATTTCGCTTTCCGAACAAGTGGTCCACGATGATTCTACCACTTGGCGTTCTTTAACCTTACCTACATCCAATCACGAAGGTGTATAGTATTTGAAGTAGCAATAATTGTCGGGGCACGTTTTAAAACCGTGATATGATTAGAGACGCTGTAGTAGAGAGCTCAGAATTCTTAAAACATTTGAAGTTCTTGCACTGAAATTCTAAGTGGACGGGCCTCAAGCATATTGGCCTCCATATAATATGCGGCCACTGCACGCAGGATTCGATCCTACGACCTGCGCGTCAGTGGTCGAGCCCCATAATCACTTTACCACAGCGACGAGTGATATCTACGGAAGTTAACGAGGCTAGACATGTTTACTTCTTGTGTACTGGTGACTCAATGCATGCGCACGGGCTCAAATAGCAATAACGTATATTTTGGCCTGCTTTCAAATACAAAATAAGTGACAGTTATGTGGTAGTTATGTAATAGTTATGTGATAGTTATGTGATAGTTATAAATAAGTGATAGTTATCGCTTCCGTATAGTTATGTTAAAACGCCTTTTCATTGACAGTGCGCTATAATAAATGCTTACTTCCAGATTGTAGCATAATGTTACCACCAGGATGCAAGTCTGTTAAAATGAATTGAAGCTATCACTTAATTCCTCTGCCTCGGTGGCCAGCGTCAGCAATTGAGGAATACGTTTTTTTATCACATGCATTAAAGCGCAAAAACAGAACAAGTGCACAAACTGCATGCACGCTTGTCGCACTGACGTCACTCACCTGTGGTACGCTACAAAGCAGGCTTGCGTACCAGGCGAAAGTGAGCATTATCCTGCCTCGTCGATGGCCACTATGCACTTTGAGCGGGTGCAGCACTGCGTAATAGCGGTCCACGCTGATGCACACCAGAACCATTGACGAGAGGTACGGGCCGAAAGCACGGAGCATCTGCATCAGTTTGCACATGGCGTTGCCCGCAGCCCACTGGACCGTGAGCCTCCACACCACTTCCAAGGGAATCATCACAAACGTCACAATCAGGTCCGCGATGGCCAGGTGCAGAATCATGAGTTTGATGCGCGACTTCCGGTGCCGTTTGTTCAGCAAACTGACGAACACCGGTACGTTGCCAGCCCCGGCTATAACGAACAGAATGCAGTAAATTATAACCTGCACTAGGGACTGCGTTGTGAACGTCAGTTCTTCACCAACGGCTAGCGACACTGCAGAACCATTCTCGCCCAAGAGGGATTCGCTGTTTTGGAATGTAGTGTTAAACGACATCGCCTCCTCTTCTCTCGAAAAGTCGAGTTCAATTCTGGACTCCATTCTGAAGTGACTTCGCAGGTAAATATTACTTCTGTTTTTCTCCCTCGCTCATTAACTTCTCGCCTAATCAACTTTCTCATTGCTGAGCGGCATAATACAACTGCGTATTGTGTCCCGTTCAGGAAGCAGGAGTTGATCTAAATGCGGCGCTTATTGAAAAGACACCTTGACAACACCGCTTCGTTAGCACAAGTTCGCATTGTCGTTGGTATCTTCGAAACCACAGTAACACAGGACGTTTTGCCCGCCTTCCTACAGCTGCCAGACCAGTCAGGAATGACAAAGTGCGAAATTAATTATATCGCTCTTTGTTCCACCTCGTGTTGGTTAAAGAGCATTCAGAAGGATGACACGTCGGTACATGAGGCGTTTCTTAGAAACCACCTCTGCAATATGCCTTCAAAGTGATGCACTCACAATTCAATTTCCCAGCCATCGGTCATACCATGGTGAATGCGCCGGTTCTAGTCCGAATTCATTTTCCCAGCTGGAGTAAGTAACTATGCAATGTCACCGATGCGCGCACAAAAAAAAAAAAACGCTTTAAGTATACGGTACCATTCAGTCACTCGGGAAATAACGCGACACACGCCCGCGCAATTTAGATAGCGAAAAGTCCCGCACGGAGAATGGTGAGTCTACGTCGAAGAGCTCAAGTGCCTGGACCCGCGCCTCGGGTCCCGCGGCTCGTGGTCACCGCAGTGGGCTCTCTCTTGCAACTGGTCTGTAGGGTCCCGGTAGAGAACGCGTGGGCTTTTGCAAGCGTCATCGATCGCGACACGTGCGCGCGCGTAGGTGGCGGCCAATGGCGGCATAGCGCGCGTCTTTCGAACGCCTCAAGGGAACGCATCAAAACGGTGAACAATCGGTGAAGCGCCAAGAACTCTTGGTGCACCTTTAAGTTAGGTCTTGTAAGTTCGTTCTAATAAGATCAAAGGCCCAAATGATTGTCTTTCAAGCGAAGCTTGCGTTGACTGACCGGTGTATAGCTGGTGATGGTGGTGTTCTAAAAATGGCAGCATATGAACGGAGTGAATGATGTGTAGTGGGGCGAAGCATCCGTCCGTCCATTCGTTCTTGCTTTTGTCCATCCATGCGTGCGTCTGCGTGCCCGCCCGTGCGTACATCCACCCATCCGTGCGCGCGTCTGTTCGTGCGTCCGTACCTGCTTTCGTCCATGCATCCGCTCCTGCGTGTGTCCACGCATTCATCCGTCCGTGCAGCTATCCGTGCGTCCGTCCATGCACCTGTCTGTGTGTCCGTTGGTCCACCTTTTCAACACTCCAAGTACCACCACCTCGCATCTTTTCATCATATATTCCTCATATAGAAGCATTGCCATCCAGCGCACAATCCAAGGACTGAACGAGAGGAGACACACGTACACTTTCTTACGACTTGCGCTTCGTGCCTACTTCCCACCTTTAACCACATCGAGTTCATAGTATATACTAGTTCACTGTATTCATGGCACTGCGGCCCTACGCTCGCTAAACCTTTTTAAAACTTAGGAGGTTATGCCAAGCTAGTATAACGTAGCAACCCTTTCTTTTCTCCTGTGCGTTGTTGAACAATAAAAAATTCGCAGCGTGCGCGTTAACTAAAAGCCGAACTCTACTGTCTCTCATTCCCCCTATGCAACCATTGGCATGTACATTGAGCAAAATCTTTTATAGTTCAACAACGCACTGAAGAAATCTCTCACCGGCACCACCTTGGAGGTCAAAATGTTATACTTTTTACACACTACTACAACGGCTACAAGGGACGAACGGGTGCCACTATAAGAAGCTTCGTGCTCATTTGTAAGATGTATACACTGTCTTTACTTGTTTTCGATGTTTCGTTTGTGTACGTACAAGTTAAGTGTACAATAACTTCCCTTTTTCGCCCCTAAAAACATCTCGATTGAACCATGGTTGTGCAATTCAGTTTTCCTGCTTGTGTTTCCCCGACCACACCGGATTTTCTCTATCTCTCGACTTCAGCTCCGGAGGTTCGATCCTTATAGATATTTTCAGTAGAATTTACCCATAGCCTTGTCACTTGTTCTTTCATATGTTGTTTTAAACCACAAGCGAAAACATGGTCAGCTTCGAACACTGATGCACCTCTTAACAGCAGTCAGCGATGTCTCATACTGCTTATAAGTGATTAGTGTAAACGCTGATACAATGCAAACTAAACCTTGCAGCATACTCATTCAACTGCGCAAATTAGTGTGGCCATGCTGGCACACGGTGCAATTGCTATCGCAATTGAGGTCCACTGAGTACATGTATTTCGATTGCAATCGGCCCCTTTGTAAATGCTGCAGAATAAAGGAAATCGCCAAACAATTTCATATCAATGTGGCCCGATGACAATCGAAAGAGCACCGTTTGGCAATCGTGGAAAACTTGCTCTTTACATTTACCTTTCTCTCTGTTTTTCTCTTGCGCAATGAGGAGCATCAAAAAATATTAAAATCTCGCCCCCCCAGAAAAAAAACACTTATGCTTATGTCAAACTATAACTATCTACAGCTCTGAATGAGGCACCCGCGTACGTGGCTCTCGTGCGTTTGCCTTCAATCCTATAAGACAGGTTGTGGCTGCATGTAGCTCTAAGCATGCTTGGTTGTTCCCCACATGGCAAATTATCCGCTCATATTGTGCTTCACAGAATTATATGTGCTAAACAGGTATTCAAACTTGGCACATGCTTCTCGTGGCAACCTGCGGCCCGTTTTTAAGAGTGCAAATCTACAATGAATAAAGATGGCCTTGCATACGTTTCGTGATTTTTCATACGTGTCTTCCACAAGCTGTGCATACCTATGAGGTAAAACATATCATATGACCCTTCATCGAGTTATGTTGGCAGAAGATAATGTATATAGTCTAAAATATCCAACGCTTTTCTTCAGTGCTCGCTGAAAAATGTCGAAGAAGATAAAAGCATCTTTGCAGCTAAGAAAACAACGGTTTATTATTTCCAGCATATCACATAGGCTTAATTAGACCCAGTGAGAATTAACATCGCAAATTGCAACATATTTGATAGTACTTTTAAAAAATTTAGCAGTACACATTTGACAGCAACAATTGCCTGTGTTTGCCCAGTGGGAACATAGTTGAAGCATATGAATGCATTTTACCGCTGACACAAACACACACACAAAAGGGAAGCACAGCCGTTGCTATGTTTGCTTCATTAAATTATTTCTTGTTGGCAGAATGAGAGAGCTCTGCAGGACAATGCGTCAACATTGTCCGACAATACTTTAAAAACATACCCGTCGCTTGATGGAATAAAAAGCAACACCTAACTGACTATAGCACTCATCAACCCCCAATTTTGATAATTTATACCTGGAATAGAATACTTTGTCCCAAGGCATAAGAAAAGTCAGTGTCTTAAAAGATACACAAAACGTGCTCGGAGACTCATTTGCGTTGTACATTTTCCTTTCCTTCCTTTTTTTCACACCCGGGGAAATGTCTGAAGCTATGTATACTTACATTATTTCTATATCTCTTTATACCTACGTACGTAACTAACATTCTAAAAGCACCCCACACGTTTTTTGCATGAGACAGAACTCTAGAAGAGACTTCAAATAGCCTTTGCTTTATCACAACATTTCCCCCTGATTATGGAAACTTTTCAATCTTCTCTATTTATTCGCCTCCCTTTTTCTGACACTGAGTAACAGGTCAGAAAATCCATCCAGGCTGACGTCAAAGTATTTCTGTCAGAATAAACCCCCCTCTCTAGAACAAGCATAATGAAAGCTCGCAATTCGAAAATTTGTGCACAACGCTCAAGCACACGACCCCTGTTTAGATATTTTTGATGAACGGGTGATTTAGAGAAACTTGACGCATTGTTGATCTCCTTTACATCACTTTCGAAGGCATCCTGAAGTTCGTGTCTCATCCTGTCCGCATACCAGCCTATCACATCGCATTGATCGAATGGAGAGCCCCGCCGCGGTGGTCTAGTGGCTAAGGTACTCGGCTGCTGACCCGCAGGTCGCGGGATCGAATCCCAGCTGCGGCGGCTGCATTTCCGGTGGAGGCGGAATTGTTGTAGGACCGTGTGCTCAAATTTTCGTGTACTTTAAAGAACCCCATGTGGTCGAAATTTCCGGAGCTCTCCAATACGGCGCCTCTCATAATCATATGGTGGTTTTGGAACGTTAAACCGCACATATCAATCAATGATCGAATGAAGGATGGCGTGCTCAATATACAGCCCACGCGGCAAGAGTGATCCCGAAAGAATTTCAAATGTGGCATGTTTGTTCACACAGCCTACCATTGAGGCATCACCCTGTCTGTCCTACAACGTCTGTTCTACATAAGGCGACGGATCTAATAAACCACCTCACATGGGCACAATCAACAACTTTGCGTGCATTTCGTGCATGTTTTTCGCAGAATATCACTGCAAATCACTTTTCTACCCAGAATCCTTAATTTGTTTGAGGACAAACAACAAGATCCACGCCAGATTACTTATACTTTTATAACATGATAGCCCTAAAGAATTCATTTAGTTGAAATCCTGGAGTCGGCATAGCCGTGGTTGGTTGTGAGGAAAAAAACTTTTTTGTCCGGGACTGAAAAATTGAGAAAGATGCAATTAAAGTAAATAATAAACATTTAAGAGTCTGAGTGAGGATCAAACCCGGCCCGTTTGCGTGGGAAGCAGGAGTCCTATGCTGCACCTCCATGCGTCTGCTTGGAAAGCAGAGAGAATAATGTCCATACTTTACAAACACCCGCGTTCTGTATATCCTGTACACAAGCTTCACAATACAACATGCACTATCGCAGTAATATTGCATGGTACAAGTGATCGGGCGTCAGAACATCTGATTGCCT